GGTCAGTCGGTCACAAGGTTGTAATATTTTTTTTCCGGTGAATTTTGCAGCGCATCTCATATCCGATAGAAAAAAAAATGTATCTCCCGAGAATGGCTAAGAAATAAATTTTTCTATTGGACGCGGGATGCGTTCCTAAACTTATAAAAAAATGTAGCAACCTCTTCGTGACTCTGACCGTACAAAGAAAATTATATATTAGAATGAGATTTGTTGTATAAGAGAATGTTTTTCTCCTCTTCCTCTTCCGGATGGAAGTTTCGTAATGCTTTGATCTATAATTCATCTGAGCTCTGAAGTTTCACAATCGTAGAATACTTAATCTCTCGTAATCTTGGTCGTTTACGATTCCTCGGAACTTTAATGGGCCGATCGAACGACAGCCGGAGCGGCAATCCGGAGTGCGGTGACGCACAGTTATATGTAAATTCAGCGTTCTACCGTGAAATCCAGTGAGTCATGAAAATACATGGTGGTCCCATACCGGTGTGTGTAAAATCGACGCGTAGTCTTCGGCTCGAATCGATAATTCACTCGAGACACTTGGAGTTAGTTCGAGAGAGGGTTTATGATCTCCCTTGGAAATGCATCGACTCGATGAACGTTGACGGCTGAAATACTTCACACGTCCGCTTAATAATAATACTCATCGATCGCGAACTATATTCCGCTCGAACGAACGAACGTCTCGTTCGTCATCACGAGCGCCATCAATGAAAACCCGTCGCCAAGATTTAACGCCGGTTTAAAACTGAGATATTAAATATTAGTTGTACCTTTTTTTTCCTTCCATTAGTTTTTCTTCCATTAATTCCGCACTATCAATCATGCGTCTCGCGTTCACTGCTTCGAGTCGGCGCGTTAATCGCGTCGCCTCGAGAGAAATTCTCGCTTCTGTCTCTCGCAAAATATTGGCGCATTTATTCCGTCGTCGAACCGTATCGAAGAAGCTCATCGACCGTTTCAATATCCTGTCGTATAAAATGACAGGCCGCGTATTCTAATTGAAAACTCGAGCCTTGCGCTCGAGGAGAGCATGATCGCTTATGTCATTAATTTAGAGAGATTGCAAGTCGCGCTTGTTAGACATCTGCACCACCTCGTATCGACATCGACAACCGGTAATAAGTTAACGATATCATTCCTCTGCTATTTCTCGTTCTCCTTCGTGCATCGTCGTTCTAATATTGAAATCAAGTCGGTACACCTGGTTTCGCGTTTAATGCAAATTGAGTATAAAAGGCCTGTAGCATCAGCTGGAAGGTAACGAATTAAATTCTATGACTCACGTTACTTGGTAATAATTCCTGGTGTTATTTAAGGTATTAACCTTCGATCTCTACTATTGTGGTATCAATCAAGGTAGGATTTATTTATCCTATTTAACTCTCTAATGACAAGGCGGATTTTCAACGTATCTAGGAAAACATGGGATTGAATCCGATCCCACGCTCTGTTTATTTTTTATGCAATCAACGTACAAACAAAATGGACAAAAGAAGTAAATAATAGCATTAAATATTCCTATAAAATAAACGAAACTCTGGGATCAATCTGACCTCACCTTACTGTTGAAAGGTAAGAGAAGAAAATAAGTCGATTTTCCATTCCCCCCCCCCCCCCCCCCCCCTTT